GATGAAACTCAAATTCTTTGGCCGCCTAATGAGAAGGAAGGACTCTCTGGAGAAGAACCCAATGCTGGGAAAGATTGAAGGCAAAAGAAGAAAGGGACGACAGAGAATGAGGTGGCTGGATGGAGTCATCAAAGCAGTAGGTGTGAGCTTAAATGGACTGCAGAGGATGGTAGAGGACAGGAAGGTCTGGAGGAAGGTTGTCCATAGCGTTGCAATGGGTGGGATACAACTTAACAAGTAACAACAACAAAGAGACACAATGCTGCTTCCTCTTTTGCCTCTGCCCCCAGGTTCTGCTATTCCTTTTGCTACATCAATCAATACCTATAGGAAATGCTAAATAAAACCAACAAGATGACACTTTCAACAATGTGTCACTTTCAAGAAATGTGCTATTACGGGCCAACCTACAGCAGGTTGGATTGAGAACAATTAACGGGCACATAAGAACCCAGAAGCTTCTGATCAGTACTTTTATTGTTATCAAAAAAACATTATGAAAGAGTCCCAGTGACTGCTGTATTTCAAACATAAGCCCCAAATGCAAAACCAAGATTTAAACTTTTCCCCAATGTTTTCCCTTGTCTTGCCTCTCCTTCAGACTGGAGACCCAGTTTCAATCGGTCCCTTGTTCTGACAATGATCATATCTACTTTCATGTCTTCCTCTGACTGTGTGAGAACTACCTTTTACATCTGCCAAACATTAAGCACTTGAATAAAAGTGTCCAATGGGATTATCTGTCAAATATTGTCTCTTTATCAAATGTATTATCCTCTGGATTGCATTTGGTATGTAGGTCTGAATTCAAATGCCCACTGCAACAATACTAGAAAAAAGTGAAGACATATTGGAAAGCAACACACATTTTAAAAGCTCTTTGGAATTAGAATGAAAGACTTGGAGAAATGGGCAAACACATGGATGTTCAACCATGTATTTCAAGTTCCTTTCACTCTTACTCCAAAACTAGAATGGGAAGGATTTGGGTTTTATATGGAAAGAAAGGTATCTGTTTAGAAGAGAAAGGTTATATACAGCAGTGTTTGTGGTTTTAAAAAAAAAGGAAACTGAGTAAGGATATTGGGAATGACAAGTGGTGAAATTCATTTTTTTTTACTACTGGTTCTGTGGGCATGGCTTGGTGGGCATGGTGTGGCTTGGTGGGTGTGGCAGGGGAAGGATACTGCAAAATCTCCATTCCCACCACACTCTGGGGACAACCAGAGGTACCATTTGCCGGTTCTCCAAATTACTCAAAATTTCTGCTACCGATTCTCTGAACTACTCAAAATTTCCGCACCCGGTTCTCCAGAACCTGTCACAATCTGCTGGATTTCACTCCTGGGAAGGACCAAGTACGAGAACTACCACCACTATTCCACAAGGACTGCTTTTTCATGGCTCGCCTTTTGAGTGAATTTTGAAGCCAAACAATTGTTTAGCAACATATTACTTTTTATTAAATTTATGGCAGCTGCCCACTCTGAAAGATTCTGGGACCCCTGAGTGGGATGGAACTCCTTAAGTGACTTATTTGATTATTATCGCCAGGAGGGGGATGGGTGAGTGGGTGGTTACTGCTTCTTTATTGTGTTTGTATTGGACTTTTATCCTTTTAAGCTGCCTGGCGTTCCTGAGAGTGAGTTGGATGGCAATATAAATTTTCTTAAATAAACAAACAAACAGGAGACATTGAGCTCTAAGGGAATCCAATAATGAAGGCAATAAAGTTCAGTGTATTAGTTACAGGAGAACATAAATGGGAAAGGCAATTGTCCATCCCATAAGGATGTCATCATGTGAGAATACAGGTAGTTCTCAACTGAGCCCAAAATTTCCAATGATAAGCAGTACATTTGTTAATGTCTCCACT